GGGGAGCCCACGGCATCAGATATTCCTGGCTTCAAATTCCATCCCCACCCCTTACCTGCTGTGCAGTTATAAGCAAGTCACTTTACCTCTCTGAACCTCAATTCCTCCATACTGTGCATCACATCCACCCCCCACAGGATTCCTGCAGAGAAAAGAGGGGTGTGAAGTAAAGTACCCAGAACAGCGACCGCCCTAAGGCCTCAGTGAATTGGCTGTTTACTGCTACTATTATCATTATCTTATAATAATGGGGGATATTGTGGGCAGAAGGGTTAGGACTGGGATTAAACTTCAAAGGTTAAAATCCCACCTCTGTGTGACTTTGGGCAGACAACTCAATGTCTGTCTGGTGTTTCAGTTTCCTCATCTTAAAATGAGGAGAAAGATAGATACAATGGTATCAATTCTTTTGGGCTAGGCTGAGTGTTCAAAGGGTTCATATGTGTGATGTCCCTGTAAGATGCTTGGCACTCACTGGACTTCAATTATTACTATCATGATACAACTTTGATTTGTGAAATCCCAAAAGCTCTGATCTTGAAGCAGAGAACAGAGGATCTTGGTGAGAGGAGGGATCCTCAGGATTTCCCAGCAAAGAAATTTCCTCTCTGGGGATCTGCTGCTTGCTTAATCCCAGTGACAGGGAGCTCCCTCCCTACAAAGAACACCATGATGAGATGGATCAGTTGGTAGACAGCTTTCATACATTGAGGAATTCTCTTGTTTCCCAAAGATACCCCCCCCCCATTAATCCCTGCTCCACGTTGTCAAGAGGTCAACCTCTGTCCAGACTTTGAAAATAGGGGTGGGTGTGAAGGAAATCATAGGGTTGAGCCTTTTGGGCAATTGGTTCTTGGAGGTGGGGCTGCCTTCTTGGCTCTCCCCAAGAAGAGGAGAGGACCCTATAGACCCCAGGGCTTGGCCAGCATGGGGCTTGGGGTGTGTTTTGCTGAATTCCTGGCCCTACTCTTATCATGGGGCTTCCCTAGTGGCTCAGATGGTAAAGAATCTGTCTACAATGCAGGAGACCCCAGCACTATCCCTGGGTGAGGAAGATCCCCTGGAGAAGGAAATGGCAACCCACTCCAGTATTCTTGTCTGGGCAGTCTCATGGAGAGGGGAGCCTGATGGTCTACAGTCCACGGGGTCACAAAAGAGTCAGACATGACTGAGAGACTACCATACACACTCTTATCATGGACAAGTCTGGTGTGTGGGGTGAGGGTAACCAGGGCTGGAATCTCTGAGAAGAGGCTCACTCAGTGTGGGCATTGGCTGGGCTGAGAGTTCCCTGGGAGGGTCGCTCTAGGACTAGGACACAGCAAACCAGACCCCCAACCCCCAACTGAAATGTGCTCCACAGCCTCTTCACCATTGGATCCAGCCCCAGATTATCTCAGAAAGGTGAGACTATTTTAAGGTTCCTTTCAGGGCAAGGAAGGCAAGGGCCTGTGGTCCTTCCCATAGGCCCTAGGAGAAATTTTTGGAAAAGATGCAAATTCCAGGTAGTTGTATCCAAGTGGTTAGCACACAGTTCACAGTGCCTCTGATGTTCCACTGTGTGACCCTGGGCGAGTTGCTTCCCCTCTTGGTACTGCTACCCCTCATCTGCAGAATAAGGACAATGCTAACAGCTCCTTTGTGGGATTGTTGTGAGGATTAAATGAATCAATATTGAGAATAAGCTTATTAGCATTAAAAACTAGGGAGATTTAGGGACTTCCCTGGTGGTCCGGTGGTTAAAACCCCATGCTTCCAATGCCAGGGGCCTGAGTTTGATCTCCGGTCAGGGAACCAAGATCCCACATGCTGTGCAGTGTGGCAAATAATAATAATAAAACAAAAATCTAGGGAGCTTTATTAACATCATTAGAGGTCTGTATTCATTGGGAACTGTATTGTTAGGGCTACCGAAATAATGTGCTTAAAAAACAGAAATGTATTTTCTCACAGTCCTAGAGGCCAGAAGTCTGAGATCAAGGTGTTGTTGGCAGGGCTGTCTCCTTCTGAGGCTGTGACTGGGTATCTGATCCAAATCTCCCAGCTTCCAGTGGTGCTGGAAATTCTTGCTGTTCTTTGGCTTGTCAATATATCATCCAGATTTCTGCCTTCATTCTCACATGCCATTCTCCCTGTGTGCTTGTCTCTGGATCAAAGTTTTCCCCCTTTATAAGGGTACCAGTCCTATTGGATTAGGGTCCACCCTACTTCCAGTATGACCTCACCTTAGCTATTATATCTGCAATGAAATAAGATCACGTTCTGGGGTCCTGGAGATTAGGAGAATGAGTTGAGTTGATGGAGAAGGGAAACAATTCAGCCCTAATAGAAACTGAAAGTCAAGGCTCTGTTTATCAAGAAATGGGTAAATATGACACATTTTCACCAGTTAGAAAAAGAAGCTAAGAGGCTGGAAAGAGATAGGGCCAAGAAAACAAGGAGGCCTTTCAGTACCAGGGACAGCAGCTCGCGTGTTTTTCTTTTCTTTTTCTTTTTTTGGTTGCTGTTTTTTCCCCTCTATCTGGCTGCAAGCCTTCCAGACAGACCCACAGGCTGGTGGAAGGTTGTTCAGGGGTTATACCTACCCTTCTAGAGCCAGCACACTCTATCTTCTGCATATAGGGCTTCAAGGCAAGAAAAGACCCAAAGAGAAAGGGCTTTGCCCCTTTTATACTTCCCAATTTCTTTCCAGCCATGCCTAATGTCTCTCAGGCCTTATGGCTATTTTCTTAGTGCCTCTGCATTTCTTGACCCTGGAGATTCAATTCAGAAAATAGAAACTCCAAAAAAAGAGAAAAAAACATTAAGACATGTATTGGGAGAAGATATGGGCATTAAATATAACCAAAAAAGGATAAGCACACACAATATATAAAGAGGGCATGTTTGTAATATCTCCCATTACAAATTTTTATTCTGGTAAAATATGCATAGCAAAATCTGCCATTTTGACCATTTCTAAGTCCACAGCTCAGTGGTACTGAGCACATTCATATCGTTGTACAACCATCCCCACCATCCAGAACTTTCTCATCTTCCCAAACTGAAACTCTGTCCTCATGAAACACTGGCTTCCCATCCCCTCCCCCAGCCCCTGGCCCCACCATCTACTTCCTTCTCTCTGTGGATCTGACTCCTCTAGGACCTCGTTTGAGTGGAATCATACTGTATTTGTCCTTCTGTGTCTGGCTTATTTCATTGAGCATCATGTCTGCAGGGCTCATTCATGTTGTAGCAGGTGTCAAGAATCTCCTTTCTTTTGGTCCTTGTATAGATGGACAGTGTTTTGTTATCCATTCGTCTGTTGATGGGTATTTGGGTTGTTTCCACCTTTTGGCTGTCCTCAATAATGCTGCCACGAGCACGAGTGTGCAAATATCTTTCCGAGTCCCTGCTTTTAATTCTTTGGGGATATATACCCAGAAGTGGAATTGCTGGATCATATGGTAATTCTATGTTTAACTTTTTTGAGGAACTGCCAAACTGTTCTCCACAGCCGCTGCACCATTTTTACATTGCCAACACAATTTTTTAAAAAATGAATGTTAGAAGCTGTCCTCAGCTCTGCCTGGTGCCCCTTCCCCAGGACCCCAGGGCACCTCTCGGGCCTGGGTCAGAGACTCCTCCCCACCACCAGGCCCAGCTGGTGGGAGCAGCCGGTGAAGTGAGCGCAGCCCAGCAGGACGCAGCTTTAATTAACTCCAGCCTGGGGTGAAAGCGATGCCCCAGGGGCTCTGCACAGGGAGTCCCCGTCGGGGGAAGTTGAGAGACCATGGGAAGGGACCTGGGGGTGGAGGACCCAGGACTCGACAGCATCAGAGCAGCCAACAATGGTGTCATTTCAGTCCGTGGAAGTGAGGCCCCCTGGGGTTAGAGAGGCAAACCCAGCTCTGAGGCCTGGATCCCTGTGTCCATCCCAAAGAATCTGCCTGCATCTCCCACCCCGCAAAATATTTTAAAATATCTTTAATCTCATTGGCCTTTCTCTGGGCGCCTCCCTCTGCTCAGTTCTCTTCCGTCTCTGTCTTTCAACCTTTCTTGTCTCTATGGCTCTCATGCCTCGCACCCTCTGCCCCCACTCAGGACGTCTTCCAATCACACCCCGGCTCTGGACCACTTTAGAGCCGGCCCCACCCCTTGCCTCTTCTGATTGGTCCTTCCATTTGGCGCCACGCCTCACCCCTCTAGCTCCGCCCCCGCATCTAGGTTGGTCCATTCCACTGCACCCTCCGAGCATCTGTTCTGATGGGGAAAACTGAGGCGCCCACACAGGTGCAGCGGGCCATCCAAGGCCACAGAGTTGGTTAGTGGCAGAGTCACTGTGCTTCTCACTCCAGTGTTGAGGTCTCTTCTGGTTCCTTGGGGCTGCTAGTGCCCCTCATCATCCTCCCTGGGGCGGCAACTCTGCCCCTTCCCCCTTCCCCCACCTCACCCCGCTTTTTAGCATCAGCCACCGATTTGATTAACAGCTGATTCGCCTCTCCGCCTTTCCTGTCTCACCTTTTGGGAAGTGTGGGTATGGGAGGGGAGAGCTGAGCTACTCTTAACTGCCCCACCACAAACGGGGCTCCAACCTCCTTGTCTCTATTTTTAAAATTATAGTGAAATACACATAATTTAAATTTACCACCTTAATCACTTTTCCTTCTTTTATTTCCTAAGTTTTTAAAATTGTGGTTGAATACACATAACAGAAAGTTTGCCATTTTAACCATTTTTGAGTGCAGAAATTAGTGGCTTTAAGTACACTCGCATTGTTGTGTGAACATCTCCACCATCTATCTCCAGAACTTTCTTATCTTCCCAAACTGAAACTCTGTCCCCATTAAACACTGACTCCGCATCCCCTTCCTCAGCCCCTGGCCCCCACCATCTGCTTTCTGTCTCTGTGGATCTGACTCCTCTATGGATCTCCTGTGAGTGGTTCACAGTGGAACTTCCTGTGAACATGGATGCACAGCCTCCTTTTCTCCTAACACCTCTATTTCTCTCCCCTCCAGGCTGTGCCTTTCTCACCTACTGTGCCAGGGACTCCGCCATCAAAGCTCAGACTGCCCTGCACGAACAGAAGACCTTGCCCGGGGTGAGTGCTGGATGCTGCTGGGAAGTGAAGGGGCAGATGGAGGGGATGCTGTCAGTTTGGGGAAGGCTAAGGTCCTTCCTGGGATCAGCTGTGAAGCTCATCTGCCTCTGAACTCAGAAAGAGACGAATGGAGCAGAGACACAGAAATCATCACCCGGATGGGCATTTCTTGTGTGTTAACTGCATCCCAGGCTGTACACTTCATGTCAGGGTGATTGTGGAGGTTGCACACTGCATGGGGGCACCTGACTTCACATGAGAGTGTCATTGGAGGATGAGGAAGCATTAGCAGGCAGAGGGACAGCAGGGGCAAAGGTCCAGGGGCAGGATGGTGCCTGGTGTGTTGAAGAAACAGCCAGGAGGGCTGTGTTCCTGGAGCAGAGAGAGCGAGGGGGAGAGAGGGAGGAGGGGAGGGCAGGGAGGGGGTGGAGGCAGATGTTCAGGGCCTTGTGGGCCTCAGGGAGGAGACTGGACCCTACCTACCTCTCACCATAAGAAGGGAGGGGATTTTCTTTCCTCTTGTCCTTATGGAGCAAGTAAAGCTATGGCTCCTTATGTGATATTTCCTCCCCAGGGGAGGCTGGCCCAGGCTCTGGGCCTGCTGGTTCTCTCCTGTCAGCCCTGTCCTCTTTGGGTGGGCAGGAGGTCCCTGCCCCCAGGAAAGGACTTAAGGTCCCCCTCAGCCTGCCAAGCCAGGTCTCCAGTGAGATCTGTAGCACCCCACCCCATGAGTTTGGGGGCAGGAGGTATCACCCTTCCCTCTAGAAATCTCAGGGACCCTTCAGTATCAAGGGGCTTCAGAGGATGCTAGGGTGGCATCTTGCCATTCCTACTGGGAGCATGGATGCCACACAGCTGAGAGTGGACAATCTGGGGTTTACTTGCCAGGAACAAGAAGCTGTGGCATGAGTTTGACTCAACTCTGAGCAAGCATCCAAATATTTGGGGGGTGGCCTCAACCTTACCTTGCAGAGCAAAGAGCCCCTCTTTATTATTTTTTTTCCATTTATTTTTATTAGTTGGAGGCTAATTACTTTATATCATTGCAGTGGTTTTTGTCATACATTGAAATGAATTAGCCATGGATTTACAAAAGAGCCCCTCTTTAAAAGATGAAGTGGCAGAAGCAAGAGCATACACTATGGCAGCCACATCAGTGGGCTCCTTGTTTAGTTTCCACCTGTTGTTGCCATGTGACAATGAACCAGTGACTCAACCTCTCTGATCTTCAGCACCAGAAGAGTATAATGCGGTGGGGTGGAGGGAAGAGTGTTGAGGAGGTCACTGAGGGCTTCACTGAGGAGGTGGCATTTGGGAAGAGACTTGAAAGGTGAGGAGGAAGGACATGCTAGGAGAGGGGACAGGATATGCAAAGGTGAACAAACACCACCTGGAATTCACTCTTCTCTCTCACTTGGACCTTCTGCCAACACCTCCCCAAACCAACAGGAAACTGGAGGGCAGGTCCGTCCGTAGCACCCAGGGGCACAGTGGAGTTCTGTAGATTCTATTTGTTATCTCCCAGTGTGTCACAAATTACTCTTCAGGGACTCCCCTGGCGGTCCAGTGCTTAAGACTCCACACTTCCACTTCAGGGGGCACAGGTTCAGTCCCTGGTTGGGAAACTAGGATCCTACATGCCTCACTGGATGGCCAAGATTTTTATTTATAAAAATAAATAACAAAAAATAAAAAAAATAAAAAATTACTCCTTAACTTAATGGCTTCAAAAAATCAGCATTCATTGTCTCACAGCTGCCAGGGGTCAGGAACTGGGGCATGAGTTGTCTGCATGGCTCTGGCTCTGGTCTCTCTTGAGTTTGCAGTGGAGTCATCAGCCAGAGCTGAATGTGGCTGGCAAATCTGGCCCAGTGCATGGCTATTGGCTGGAGGCCTCAGTTCCTCTCTGTGGGCATCTCCCCAGTGCTTGCTACTTGAGGGACCTCACAGCATGGCGACTGGCTTCCCGCAGGGCATGTTATCTGAGAGTGAGCCAGGAGCAAGCCACAGGATCTTTAAAAAAAAAAAAATTATGTATTTATCTATTTATTTGGCTGCACTGGGTCTTAGTTGCAACATGCAGGATCTTTAGTTGCAGCCTGTGGGATCTAGTTCTCTGACCAGGGATAGAACCTGGACCCCTGCATTGGAGCATGGAGTCTGAGCAACTGGACCATTAGGGAAGTCCCAGGCTCAGGACTCTTTGTCCTCCTCTCTCTGCTTACTCTCCTAGCACAATCCAGTTCTTTCATCCATATCTATCCTGCCAGCCAGCCAGCAACCTTTTACTAAGCACCTATTTCATAGGCCTGATGCTGTACTTCTCTCACCAGTTCTGTGTACAGAAGATGCCTCTTGGTGACTCCTTCAGGCACCCCATACCCAGCAGAGCTCAAACTGCCCACAGCATCCCCTTTGAACCAGTTTTTCCTCCCTTCCCCTTGCCCCACCCCAGCTTCTCATGGTCAGTGGCAATCCTTGGCCTGTAATCCTTCCAATTCCTGCATCTGTTGTCAGGTGGCCTTCTCCTCCATGTCTACATCTCTGCCATCTCCACCGCCTTTCTCTTATGAGGACACCAGTCCAATCCTGGATGACCTTGTGCATAGATCTGTCACTTAATTACATCTATAAAGATATCATTTCCAAATAAGGTCTCACTCATAGATTGCAGGGGTTAGGTATTGGACACGTTTTTGGGGAGGACAGCCATTCACTTCACTGCAGGGGTGACCACAAAATGAATAGCTGGATGGAAGGGTGACCGGGGAACAGCATCTCAAGGGAGAACCAGGTGACCTGTGGTGATGACCTCATGGAGGGCAAATAGGGCAGCTTTCTGGAGGGGGAAGCATTGGAGCCTAGTCTTGAGTGATGGGGAGGGTGGTGGCAGATGGGGGTGAGCACAGAGCGTACTGAGGCATGGAGGCAGGAGTGTGCCTGGCAAGCTGAGTGTGGGAACGCACGAGAACCGAATGGAAGTTTACTACCCCCAGGGACACTGGGCAATGTCTGAGGACATTTGTGGTCATCATGACCATGGCATCTCGCGAGTAGAGGTCAGGGCTGCTGTTCCACACCCTACAGTGCACAGGACAGCCCCCACCCCCAATAGAAAATTATCCAGGCCCAAATCAGCAGTGCTGAGGTTGAGGAACCCTGTTTAGGAGAATAAGGAGCTGGTGAATGTTCTAGAACAGTGCTAAGAGAAATATATAGAATGCATACCACATACAGCATTTAGATTTTTCTAGGAGCAGTGTTTAAAGGTTAGAAAGAAACAGGTGAGATGAGTTTTAATGCTTTCTTTTATTCTAATGCACTGTCTCAAAAATCCTATCAAGAGGCTGTCAGTAGGGCCCACGTAAAACTTACAAATGAGATAGTTCACATTCTTTTTATTTCATCCTAAGTGTTTGAAAATCTGGTGTGTGTCTTGTACACCCTCAATCCCTCTCAACCGGAACACTTAGTGGTTATCAGAGATGCTCAGTGTGGAGTTGCATTTTATAAAATTGACTACTGAAAAAGTAGATTCCTTTGCTCAAGTTGTTGTAAACCTACTCAGAGCTTTTCCAAGAATGGAGTCAGTTTTTAGACTTTTTTGTAAAGGATCAGAGAACAAATGTTTTCAGCTTTGACAGCCATACAGCCTCTGTTGCATCTGTTGAAAGCACAAAACAATCACAATGACTGTGGCTAAGTGCCAATAAAACTTTATTGACAAAAACTGGCTGGGGTGGGGTGCAGAAAAGGGCTGTGGTTTGCCCATCCCCATATTGGGCTATCACCATCCAATAGAATTTACTGGATGTTCCATCTCCGCTGTCCAGTAGGGTGGACACTTGCTCCGTTTGGCTATGGAGCCTTTGAAAAGGGGTGAGTGTGACACAGGGACTGAATTTTTAACATTATTTAACTTTAATAGATGTAAATTTAAACTTCCACTGGCTACATGGGGCTAGAGGCTACCATCCTGAACACTGCAAAATCTAGAATGTTCTAGATCAGGGATCAGCCACCACATTAGTGCAGATCTAGAATATTCTAGACTCTTCGACTGTGTAGACCTAGAATGTTCTAGACCCAGGAGCATGGTACAACGTCATTATACGTCTAGGTTAGGGAGCTGTCTGTCTCTCTTTGACACCAGCTCACAGCTGAGAAGGGTTAGGGGCCTCAAGCCACCTCTTCTCCTTCAGGGCCATTTCCCGGGTGTTATCATTGTCTGCCAGCACTCTGGGGGCACCTCATCCAGCTGCCATGTCAGCAGGGCCCTGGGTCTGCTCTGGCCCTGTGTGACAGGCATGGGGACTGTGGTGAGAGAGCAGGGGACTTGTCCCAGGTCACCCAGCAGGGTGAGCACTATGGCTCCACCCACCCTCCTTCACAGACCTTAAACCTGTGGCTTCTCTGGTTGAGTTTCCTGTAAGCTGCCCCCTGCTCCCTGGAGGTGAGGAGGCTCAGAGCTGGATCCTGGGAACAGAGGGGCTTGGCTTAAATTTTTTCCTTAAAATTTGAAAAATACTGCACATTTACTGAAAAGTGCATGCAACCCAACTGACTATAAAGCAAGCACCCTGTTACCGCTGTGCACCTGGAAACCACCCCAACCCATGTCCCCAAGCCCAAGCCCCTCTCCTCTCATTGGAGGAGCCACTGGTCTGACTTTTATGGCAATCACCCCTTCCTTTTCTTCTGTTACCATGAGGATGAGATTCAATATCATGCCTTGTAGCTTTGTGCCTTGTCACTGCTGTGTGGTATTCCACAGCCTGGATGCACCATTTATTCATCCATCCTCCTGCTGGTGGACATGTGAGTTGTTTCTAGTTTTACTGTTAAGGCACAGAGATCCTTGCCAGTGTTTTGCTCTGGGTGGACACATGCCACATTTGGGCCAGTCTCATACACAGGAGTTCGGGATCCCTGAATATGTGTGTCTTCCAAATCTGATGAGAGAAGGGGTTGATTTTGGGGGTGAGCCTCCCTCCACAAGA